TAGAATAATTTTGTGTTTATAAATTAAAAACATTTTAATAATGGTCATCACGTTGATTACATATAGTTGAGTGACGGTTTCTGCAAAAAGATGTTTCTAATTTATTTTCAAAGCTTTTAAATATGAGAACTACTAGTTCAATGTTTGGATATATAAGTTGTACGGATCTTCATTTTTATCATTTCCCAAGTGGCCACTGGTCCTTTATTAACCTCTTTTGTTCTCCACCAAGGCTTAATATTATCTGCCAAGTATAATTTAGCATATAAAACATTCTCTAAGCTTAATAATAGTAATGCTTAAAAGTTATTGTAAAACTAATCCTCCACCACCTTATAATCATTCATGTTTGCAAGTGTGATTTTGTGGCAAGGACACAAGAGCAACAGTAGGTCCTCCAGACAAGCTAAGTTCTCAAGTTTAACCAGCTACCACCTCCATGCAAGGGTACTTTCCACAAGCTCAAAGGGTAGAGGGCTATCTCTTGATTTTTTTTGGTTGTTCTCTAGGCTCCAATCTGTTAGGAGTGATGCAAAGAGACTGTTATTGATCAGGCCAGGGATTTCCAACCCAAAGCTATGCTTCTCATACCTGAAATGTGTATCCATGAAATATCTATAATAATAACAACGAAGGGACCATACCCCCACAGCCGTCTGATCCTAGGCCCGGGGCAGCCTCAGAAGCCATAGTTCTCAGAAAGGAGAGGCCACCCCAAGCCCAGGCCAGGACCAGTGGCCATGGTTAGTGGGAATATTGGCTCAATGTTGTGGTGGCCAATGAGCAGGATGCATGTGTGGCCGGGAAGAGAAGAGGGCATGGTGACAGGTGTTATGCTATGCACTCCTAGGGCTTCATTGCTTGCGGTGTGTGATCAACACCACAGCATTTGCTAAGCAAGTACTCGTATTCTTTATGATATGCCGAGATGACTGTTGACTTCATTGATAATATCTTGATCCACTTAGAGGGGTATATCCTCTTGTAATTTCTCTTATAAATAGAAGACAAGTGCCTCAGGTTGTATATATCGAAGTATAAACCAAAGAAGCAGATAAATGGATCCCTCCCCCCCCCCAAATGGTGCTACTGTTGCTCACCAGGTACCAGCCCAGCTCGCTGTCCCATGCCTTGACATGATATTCCATGACCCTTTGTCCCATGTTTACTGGCTCTCGGATCTCCAGTGTGTTGAACTTTGAGACCTTGCCAAGATCAAGCTCGATCCAGCCGGTTGACTCCCCTTGCATTGGAGCCCAGAAAGTTTCCATACGCTCATCAAGGATTTGCTTCGGCCCGAACGAAGAGCTGTGAACGCTGCTTGCTGTCACGGACAAGGGATTCGCTGCTAAGTTGACGCTGAAGATGGAATCTATGGCGGAGCTAAACCGCTCCAGCGTCTGGAAGTCAGATTCGTCGATCAGTCCCGACGAGTTTGGAGGGACGTTGAGCAGAAGCAAGCAGTTCCTGGTGGATGATTTGTAGAAAACGTCGAGCAGCTGCTCCAGGGATTTTGGAGCCTCGTTCCTGTGCCAAAACCAACCGGGCCTGATGGAGATATCGCACTCCGGAGGGAGCCAGCCGGTTCCAGCACTCTCTCAAGACATCAAGTACCTGTTGATGTTGCGAATTGGATTGAGTTTCACGAGAACGAAAGTTTCATGGAAGGATGGATTTTACGTACTGGCCATCGCTCCTGCCAATCGTAATGGAAGATCTGTTCGCCATCGCTCAGCATGGTTGTCCAGCCTCGCCATACTCGTTCCCAACCCATCGGATGTCGGGGCCAGCATCGGAAAAGATGTTGCCACCGGGGATGAATCGTGTCAAACCAGAGCTCAAAATCGTAGCTCATGTTCACTGCAGTGGGTGATTTCGCACCATCCAGCCACACCTCGAAGATCGGCCCATATCTGCACGCCAAAACAGAATGCCGCGTCAAGGCATCTGCTGCTAGAGATGAAAACTACAAAAGCCCACAAGCTCGCGAGCTCCTAATGCTAAAACCGTTTGATGGGCTGGAGCAAATGCAAACATATCACACAGTGATCATGCCACCAAGAAAAATGCGTGAAGAAGAAGCAAAGAATGTCTCACTCACCCAGTAAGAAGCTCCGGGAGCTGAGCCAAGTAGAACTCGTTGTAGAGAAGAGTGTCGCCATAGCAGCTCTCGTGCAAATCCCATGGCGAGAGGTAAAAGCCCACGTACGCTCCCTGGCGGCGGCCACGAACTCGGCCACCACATCCCCCTTCCCTCCTCGCCAAGAGCTGTAGGCCGAGGGCCACAGGCAGAACCCGTCGTGGTGCTTGACCGTGAGGATCACGAGCTGCGCGCCCGCGGATTGGGCCGCGTCCATCCACTGCGACGTATTCAATCGCTCCGGGTTGAAGATGGAGGGCGATTCGTGGCCGGATCCACGCTCCGAGTTGACGCCGAAGTGGAAGAACATCGAGAGGCGGCGCGAGTGGAACTGGAGCTGGCGCCATGAGGGAATTGGGCGGAGAGGGAGCGGTGGGGGCGAATTTAGGGCGACAGCTCCACTAGTATCTCGAGGAGCAAGAAAGACCTGTGACAGATCCCGGCAGTTCTTGAGCAGTGCTCCCCAGGAGAGCAAGCAATCCTCTGAGGTGTCTGTGGAAATCACGAAATTGGGGAAGAGCAATGCCATAAACTTTGCTGGATCTCACATGCATTCGCGATTCGCGAGGTATTCCTTGCGAGAATCCGGGCGCGACCTCCACAGCTCTTGAGAATCCTGGACGGAGAAAGAACATTCCAATCTAGCTTGGAGATCACGGCTAAGAAGAAGAAGATAATCCATCTTGCCTTGCAAGAACAAGGACACCCTGGAAGAAGCAAAGATTTTACTCTCTGGTGAGAATTCCTCTACTCCACTGGGCTTATAAGATTGGCTCTCTCCTCCCTCCAGTCCTTACATCCTCTGGAATGGAGCTTGCTGTGATCGAAGTAAAATGGTCCATCTCCACAAGAACAAAAAAGAACAATCAATGAATTTCCATCTCACAAAATTTTACATATTACAAAAGAAAACCCTTACTCAACCTTTTAACACTCTTCAACTAGAATATTCTAGAATATTCTACTTATTAACATATATTCAAGGGAATAACAAATAAGATAGAAAGAAAATCAAATAAACTAATTAAATTAGCTACTAACAAGTTCATCTGCTATGTTCTACGTAATGGCATCATCCACAATGGAAAGCCCTTTTTATCTTAACCAATGTATTATGTTTATACACATTTTTTCTTTAGATAACTAAGAGGATTTTTAATGGTTATGTATTATTCTTGCACAAGCCCTCCAGAAAAAAAGACCTATATATGCGCCACAATAAGCCTCAAGTGAGTAGCAAGGATGGGTGTAGAATTACATATGCTCTCTGTAAAATATGATAGTTATAATTGCATAAAAGACATGGAATATTAATCTTTTGCGAACCAAAGCAAAAATAAGTCTTTTCAACAAGCCTCACAATTTGAATGTGGTGCTCTGAGTGAATCTTGAATACTGTTATATCAACTAAACTAATGATGTAGTAGCAATCACGACTTCATACTAAATAACATCACTTTAATTACCTTTTATAACTCCTTAATAGAATCAAAACAATTTCCTACTGTAATTCCTTTCTAGCACAAACCTCAATAATCAATTAGCCCTAATCCTTAATCCCATTTGCCCCAAATTAAATATAATACTCTAGATTATTTTAGTTGAAGGTTGAGTAAGGGTAGTTTTCTAGCTTTGTAGAATCAAAACTATAATTTTAAAACTTCTAAGGCAAATTTGTTATTTTGTAAATTTTTAGGGGTACAAATGTAATTTTCCCTGTTTTTTATTAGCTAATGATATGAAATAGTTTATTTAAAAATAATCATGGTGAATTATCTTAATGTTAAAGAAATTTAATAATTTGATTTCCATACACAAATTTGCAAATTTGTATTATAAACAGCAAGATATCCTTCATTTTCAACACATAATGCATATGTAACCCATTTATCTTGTTTCTTTAAATGATATACTAAGATCTCTCTGTAATTTTTATCATAAATTACAAGATTTCCATTTTTTTGAGCTTTGTGGAGCTCAAATGATGATTCCTCCAAGTCTCCTCTATTAGTTCTCCCCGATCTGGAGCAAGAATTCGTGGTAGAAACCATACTTACCAAGCAAACACACAAACGTTCCAAATGCATAATTTTGCAAATGTCAAATTTTTCTCCAAACACGTTTGTCAGTAACAAACCTAAAAACCTAAAGAAATGAAAAAGATTCTAAAAGATTCTTTTAAATATTAGGATATTCTACTGCATGATTTCAAGATCATACAACACTTTCATCTATCTCTTATAAAAGTTCTTAGAATTCTTCCATCATTTGCTGCATATATAAAAGCCTCTCCCAATTGGCTTCTAAATCCAAATCATCATGATCAATTTCCTTACAAGGGGTGCCCTTTGTCTCTATGAGTTGGATTAACTTCAAGTTAGTGTAACAATACACTAACTTTTCATGTTCACAACTAGCAACTGAGCTCTTCTCTTAGACTAGACAATGCTCCAAATGCTCTAATTTCTTTTAGCATCAAAAATTGAAATACATTGGTTGAGCACTTATATAGCCACCTTTTGCAGGTCAAGGAGTTGAGATATATACTCTCTAGATTATGTCTTATCTGTGTAGGTTGATTTTTCTTGAAATCATGAAATTGAAGCACTAACGTTTCCTTAAGCTTCAAATCCCCCTTTGAAATCTATTCAAAGTATGCATGGGTATCATTGCCTTCAACATCCTCTTCCATGTCCATCCACAATGGATGTAAACAACAGCCACACTTTGCAGACAATTGTGCATCATGAGCTAACAGTTTGGACCAAACTAATCATTATTGTATATGAATGCTTTAATCATTTCAATTCTCTGCTTGTCCACCACATCATCATCAGCGAATTTCTATAAGCTCTTTTGCATTTGATCCATAGCTTCAAAGATGACACACATCCCTGCGCCATCTCTATCAACTATGTTTAACAGCTTTAGAATTGGGGCCATGATCACGAGAAGCTCAGAATACTACATCCAAAACTCACTATTCTTCACTAGGGCTTCCACTTCGTCTGCTCCAGACACAGGGAGGCAAATCCACGCCCGCATTGCGCAGAGCGAGCACCGCCGCAACAAATACCTCGCGAATCTGCTCGTCCAGATGTATGGCAAATGCGGCAGCGTCGATGACGCCCCGTGCAATCTTGGAATCCATAGAGAATCCTAAGCTCTTCTCCTCCCAAATCATGATCCAGGCCTACGCACAGGCGAAATATCTAAATCGAGCGCGCAGAACGTTCGATGGGATGCTCCGGCGAGATGCCTCGACGTGGAACTCGATCGTCACGGCATATGCCGACAACGGGCATCTTGATAAAGCGCGAGAGATTTTCGAATTGGCTCCAGAGAAGAGCGAGATCTCTTGAAATGTGATGATCACGCTTTGCATCCGCAGTGGAAAGATAGCTTCTGCCAAGGATTTCTTTGATCGGATGCCCGTGAAGACAATCGTTGCGCAGACTGCCCTCGTCACAGCATTTGCCAGGAAAGGGCATTTGGAAGAAGCCGAGGCTTTGTTTGAGAACATAAAGAGTCATGGGCTTTTGGCTCTCGCTGTCTACAGACAACTCCAACCGAACAGCAAATGCAGGTTGGGCAGTCTTTTTCTCTTGAGTTGATACAAACAAAGACTTTCTGGCGACAGGCAACTGCATTTGAGGTGAAAAGGCTACTGATTGCCGGAAAGCAGAAAGAGGCTTTACGGGCTGCCCAAGACGGGCAACTTTGGGGATGTGCTCTTCTTATGGCCCGGCAGCTGGGAGAGAAGGTACCTAGTCTTGTAGAGACCGTTAGTGATGGTCTTGTGGTTTTTAATAGTACACCGACACTATAGTGGAGATGGCTCAACGTCAGTTTCAACCCTCCGGACTCTAACTCTTCTTTATGCTGGTCAACATGCCGGAGTGTTCATAGGGAACACTAATTCGTCGAACGTAACAGCGCTTCAACCTCAACCGGTTCCAGCGTCCGCTGTAGATGGTGCAACACAGGTGAAATACTTTTATCAAGCTGCTCTCTTGCTTAAGGAGTGCATGTTGACTTGCAGGACGCAGTAGAAGGAATGCTCGAAGAATGGCAGGAAAACCTGGCTATAATGGCAGTTAACCGAACTAATGGGGACGAGAGAGTGATTATGCATCTTGGTGATTGTCTCTGGAGACATCGAGATGAGGTATATACATGGTCACACGTTGATGTTTCTCATAGTTTTAACTTGCAGATATGTGGAGCCCATATTTGCTATCGTGTTGCAAATGCTAGTTTTGAGCCTTTCTCTACTTCTGCCGGACTTTGTCTTATAGCTGCCGACCATTGTATCCACGCACGTACGCTAGTCCAGAAGCTATCCAGGTAAGCCGTGTTTGTCCTCAATAACAATTGTTAACCTTTTCTTCATCAGCGAATGGAAGAATTTGCAAGAATGACCGGCAATTCCCAGTTTATTTTACTTCCTTTTCAGCCATACAAGCTTATTTATGCGTCGATGCTTGCTGAAGCTGGAAAGATAAACGAAGCTTTAAGGTTGGTAGTGATTCTTAACTGTATCCTTAAGGTTTCTCTTTGAAAACAGTGGGCCATGCAGCTGATGTGTGCAAAGAAGCGGCTGTAGCCTTGGAAGAGCGTCTTCGTATCCACTCTCAGGTTTGTAATCGGACACTCGGCTTTTATACTCACTTTCCTGTTATCCAGGGAGGCTCGACGTCAATTGTGCAACGGTTTTTTGGCAATATTGGTCTACACAAGATGATAGGCCCTTCTTCCCCGAAAGCTTCTGATATGCTGATATTAATAACTGTCCTGCAACAGCTAGTGTATCACTTGCCTCGTCAGCATCAATGGAACCCATAAGTGATAATACGAGAAGATCCAACATGCCAGCAAGAAGCATTTCACAGGCCTGCACAGGTAACTCGACTTGCTCTTGTGTACCTTCGATTAAGACTTGTATTCTTTCATCAGATCGTTAGTCCAACGAAAGGAACGCCAAACAGAGACGTCTTTACTTCTTTCGTGCAAAGAGCGATGGGCTTCATAAAAACACCTTCGAAGGAGGTTTGTAGAAGCTTTGGAAAGAGCGCTAATGGTTGGTACGTGATGCAGGCAAAGCTTGGCGACAGCAACAAGTTTAGATACGACGAGACACTGAAGCGCTGGGTTGAAGAAGGAGCCGAGGCACAAGCGCCAGAGCTTCCGTTGGCTCCTCCTCCCACGGCAAACAAGCTCGTCTCGCGCGTGGAGGAGAACGGCGCTCCTATTTCCATGTCTCCAGAGAGACGACAGCCAACTCCGGAAAGGCCGCAACCGGTTGTGAGTGGAATCCCACACTCCAATCTCACGAGGTTTTTGCAGATATGTCGATACATTCAACAAAGGTAGCGTAACACCATCCAAGACATCATCGGACTCTCCTCCACTGTTTGGCGTGGTGCCAAAGGCAAGCGCAAAGCCTTTGGCTGCAGCGAGATTTTTCGTGCCTGCGGCCGCTGCTGCCGCTGCTCCAGATATCAACAGCAACCATTCGGTGGATCCTTCCTCGGCACCGGCCTTTGTCCCCGACACGGCATTCTCAAACGGGAATGGACCGTTTGCAGCAGCAGCATTCGCTCAGCCGGTTGTACAGGATATGAGAAACGATCCGGGGCCAACGCCTGATCATCTCTCGAGTGGCTCTTCGCCAGCAATGTTCTATTTGAATCACTATCCAGCAGCACCGTTGACCATCTCGTTGCCGCCACCTCCCAGCTCTGGAAGTCACTCTGCCAGTGATGGTCGAGCAGCAGCAGCAAAACCAACACCAGGAAAGTTTGATTCATCGGCCATCAACAGTCCGGCACAGTGGGATTCGAAGCTGCCAGTTCCTCTGGAGTGTTTGGAGACGACTTGCAAGAGGTGGAATTGTAAATCACACTCCACAAGTAAGTAGTAGTGGGTGGATTTTGGTAGAGCAGTGTAGCGAAGTAGTAGTCGGGATTTTTTTTGGCTGGGGTGATTCTTTGGAGCCACGAGCGAAGCTAGGAAGCAAGATAAATAAAATGGATCAAACAATATAATTCAGGAATTAAATTCTATAAAACAATAAAATTCAAAATGAAAACTGTAAAATATAACATAGAATATAAATAGAATAAAATAGAGTAATAAACTACAACATATGCAACAACTCTTCAGTAATAAATTTCAAGCCATGATTCTCATTATATAATCTTGTAAACACAATTTCGATAAATACTAAAAAATTCTAGTTATCTCATTTTTTGAAAAAACTTTTTATGGAGTCTCTTCTTGAACTATATGACAACATTAAATATCTGTACTACATTATTTAATAATCCTGCCTAAATTCAATCAAAACTGATACAAGCTATTAGTATTATAGCACTACCCTTGCATTTCAAATTCTTTCACCCTCTTAGCCTTATGGTTTTTTCTTAGGTTTTGGGTTCTCTTGGGTTCGCCACTACTGGTTCATGGATCACATCTTAGGAGGCATTTTTCCTTCCTCTCTAGCACATCCTAAGCACATATCTCTCTTGTTTATGGCCATGGTAAGTTTTTCTTTCCTCAAAACATATGGTTTCCATTATTATAAGAATATACATTCGTATTTTAGTATTGCTTGGCATGAGACTATATGATAGTGTAGTGTATTTACAAGAGAGTCATCCCATACTTGTGTATAGGCATGAGAGAGCATGCCTAGAAATCTCAAAACAAAAGAACAAAGATTTACAAGAGAGAGTCATCCAAAACTGGTCTATAAGTGTACAAGTGCATGCCAAGAAATCTCAAGCTTCTTTGGAGAAAGTCAAATTTGAGTTTGGCTAGGCATGAGCTCACACGCTAGCTTAAAAAAACAAGAGACCATGAGAGAGAGAGTGTTAGAAATCCTTACATTGTTTAAGAATGAGTGTGAGACCATGCTTGTTCAAAGTTAAATAACTCTTGTTTCTCTGGTCATTTTACAAACTTGCACTTACCAATCTGTTTCTCTCTTAATTTGACTTTGGTTTATTGTGAGCTTATATTCTTTCATCAATACATTAAATTGGGTCTTTAGCATGCAAGTGCATACTAGAAATTCTTTGACTTTGTGTGTGCTTATTTTATGCATTTTTAATTATTTTCGCTACATATTTTCATGTTTTGTTTTCTCATATTCACAAAAGGAACTTTGTTTTTTAATTTCCTATTTTCTTGTCTTTTTTTGTACTTTTTTCCTTCTATTTGTGTTTTGATATTTGTAATTTTCTTTATTTTTCTCAAGTTGTGAAAAGGAGATGTAATAGAGATTGTTTGGGATAATGAAGGATCAATTGCAAAGGGAAGAATAGAATCTTTAGATGCTACTTGCATTTGTCACTGTGCTTCTTTAAGAGTTAAATGTGTTTTGCTTTGCATTATTAAGGTGTTTAACTCGAATTACTCCCCCTTTATAGGTGAGTTGGATGTTAGTGGGTTTTTTATATAGAAGCAGAATCAATTGATGTCTCCAATAGAGATATTTCCTACCAAAATCTCTTAGGGAAATATAATTGGAACACAAAGGAATAATGATGAAGATGTTATTTCACAGAAGATAGAGAGTAAAAATATTTCAGAAGGCAAGAATATCCCTAACTCTGGTTGTTATTCTATAGATATAAAGCTATATGGTATATATGTAATATATGGTATAAAGCTCTTGTGAAGATAGTGGATGCTATACATGTAGTTTTGCCTGAGGGACTAATTATTATTGTAGACCCTCAAGATGCTCTACACAACATAGCTTTAGAGTGGGATTATATTAGAATCTCAATCTCTTCTTTTGGTGATGTTTCAAGTAAGTTGGAAATAGGTAGTCTAGTTCAATGGAAACTATCCCAAACTCTTTTGATAATAATATACCATCTACCATACTAATAAACACTTGCATTTCTTCTTCACATTATTAAAAATGAAAATATACATTTATCAAATGAGCTATTAAGAAGCAACCAAGCAAATAGAAATCAAATACTAAGGATTTAACAAGTGGAGATCCCTTGGGGACGATAGGGAATAAAAATAATAGTTAATTGAAGCATGGACAGTGATCAAAAGTAAAAAATATAAGAATCAAAAATTTAGAAACCTGTATCAACAACAATCTTGAGGACAACAATACTTAGAATATAACCACTACTTAGCTTAGACTTTTTGAACATCACCATTGATTGGAGAATGCGGATGCTCATAGTAAGCATGTGTATGACTTTATACAACACAATTAAAGGTAAGCCACAATTACTTTACAACAATTTAACACAACAAGGACTTGTAAAAAGAGTAGCCATAGTATGCACTCCTGTTCGATCCCGAAGTTGGCGAGCAACAACTTTGTTGAAGATTAACTTTATTGAGCCGAAGACAACATAGCAACACAAATACCAATACATAAGATTGTGTTAGTCTACAAAACATGATTCTACAACTACATAACATTTCCTCAAGAAGAACACAACAAACCAAAGACAACAAAAAGAAAACCAGGAAAGCAAATTCAAGAAAATGATAACTCAAGAAAACTCTAGCACAACATCAAATATACAAACACAACCTTGATCCACTCAAGAAACAAGAGCGAGATCAAATACAACAAATATGAGAAGAGAAGAAACAACTCCAGCAAAAATTAGAAGTAGATAAGCAATAGAAGACTTAAGCTTAAATTGAAATCCTTGAGACTATATTCAAGACTTTTGACAAAACGACTTAAGCCATACAAGTTAGCAAATCAAGCAACATCAACACAATCAATGCCGAGGAAGACATAATCAATTAAAATTTAGACTTAGATCAAGATTTACCACCACTTGAAATCCCAATTACAAAGATTATAACACCGACAACTTTCAGTCTTATCTAGCTTCTTAAGAAACTGAACCATCATTAACAGTAGAAAGATAACACTCATCAACCCAACAATACCCTATTGCATCATGATTACATATCCAATCTTCACCAATAGCAAAATTGAAAATACAAAAAGACATTTCCAACAATTCAACCAAATTATATAAGTCAATCAACAAGAAGACAACAAAGAACTTCTATTCCTTTTCACACTTAAAAGAAAAGCATTAGAATGGTATTATAATCTTGATGAAAAACCTAAGTTTTAGGAAAAAGTTAAGTGATTCAAAGAGAAGTACCAACCCAGTGGCATAATAGTTGAATACCTAGAACATTTCAAGAGCATTAAACAAGGCAGTAAAGAAGATATCAAAGACTATACCCGAAGATTCAAATTTCACACAAAGCACTACAAAGATCTACTCACTAAACAAGGTAAGTATATTTGGTATGTACAAGGATTGAAGAAGATATACTAGTAAATGGTTGCTCTTGTAAATACGGAAGAAGATCTAAATGCCGAGACCTTTATTGACAATATTTTTTAAAAAATCAAGAACCTCGAGAAACAGCTTTGAAATTTTTTAAGAGTAGAAACAACAAGAATAAATGACTTTTCTGATGATAAGGAAGAATACAAACTCGAAGTCATGAAGAAAGACAAGAATAAAGAACTTACCAAAATACTCAAAAAAGTTACAATCAAGAACAAATTTAAAGGAGTATGGTATATGAAATGTAAGGATAAAGGATACATCCTAACAGAGTGTAAGTATTAGATCTGTGAAAAGGAAGGATATATAGCAAAGATCTGTCGATACAAAAAAGCAACTAAAGTCATACAAGTCGAAAATATACCTTAAACTCCTACAGCAACTAGAAGACATTATAATCAACTCAGACAAGAACCACAACAGTGGTAGTTGAACTACCAAAATCAAGATATATATAATCCTAACCCTAGATACCATCAACAATACAACAATGGCAATCAAGACAATCAGTATTAGTGACCAACCTTATCGAGACAACCAACAATGGAGACCACCACCCCAGCAAAATAACTATCAATATCAGTACCACAACAATCGGCAATGGAGACCACCTCTGCAATAACTAAACTATTAATAGTAAAATCAACAATATGATCCACCACCCAAAGTATTTCCTCACAACAACTATCAATAACAACCTCAAACTCAAGAAATCCGACCCCAATACCAACAACAACAAATCAAGGAAATTGACCTCCTCAGCAAGATCAGCAACATCAAAGACCTTCTCCAACAATAAGAAATGTCAACATCGACTAAATTGAAGATGAACACTCTAAAGATGAACCTGAGGTAAAAGCTCTAACTCGAAGTCAGAAAAACACTACACTCCTAAAGATGACATTGAGGAAAAGTCAAAGAACAAAAACTCTAAGACAAAGTGTAAGAAATCTCAAGGCACGAATGGCAATAAGTTAGTCACCACAATTCAACAAACCCTTCGACAACAACAACTTGAAATTAAAGATGATCAAGAAATTGTGATTAAAACTTTGTCAAAAAAAGAGGAACAACCAAAGCCCATCACCAAAATTCTTCAACAAAGTATCACACTCACCCTTCTAGAACTTTCACATATAGCTTTATACTTGAGAAAACAACTTCTCAAAATATGTCAAGCTTCTCCACCAAAAAACTTCAACTCAAGTCAAGAAAAAAACTAACAACTCATCCCATAAGGCAAACATCCAACCTAGCGACTATGATGAAAATGTACCATGCATCCCAATCACGATAAGAAAAAACAAAGTTATATAAGTAATCATCAATGGCAGAGAAAATATCAACATTATCGAGTATTCAACCTGCAAAGCAATAGGACTTGGACCAATCCACTCTACACCCTTCAATGTCAAGATGGCCGATGATCGGAGTGTACAACATTCCTATCAAAGATTAAAGATCAAGAATTTAAGGTAACTTTCATCGTACTCAATTGTAGCGCATGTGGGTTTTACCCTTTATCCTATAGTGATTTACCATAGGATAACACCACGAAGCGGAACTTAAACCCTCTTTGTGCCATATGACAGATGCCACATATCACATGCCATGTGTCCAAAGGATAGAGGTGTGGAACCTGAGGTTCAGAGCCTTAGGCCACTGAACAAAGGAACAATGCCAAACTCCC